AAAACTCAAAGTGGCAACTAGTTTTACTAAGAAGTAAAATAAAGATACTATGTACCAACTAATAACACCAAAAAATTGAAAATAATATCACAAAAATAATTTTGTTGAAAATCAAACCTGTACTTACTAGTGAAACCATTCTTGATTTTTTTGGGTTATTCAGTGAACTTTACTCCTCTGTTTTTTATTTTCACCATATAGTTAGATTGATAACCACAATAGTTATCATAACTTGTGGTGTATCATTATTCATTCTAATAATAATGAATCTGTACTTCACCAATGCAGTGAATTAGAAAGCTCTCTGCATTTAAACACGAAAAACGAATTCAGTGCAACAAAGCCTATGTTTTGTATACAAGTGTTCTATTAAAATTTAAAAACAGGTTTATTTCCTGCATCACCTCTCTCCAATTCCTTTTATCAATATGGATAATATCGATATATCAATATAATATCCATATAATATCAATATTGACATTATACAGAGCATGAATTTTGCCATCATAATTAATATGTTAACCGTATCCGATCGTTTTTAGCAATTCGTACTATTGTTGGATAAGTGACTACATTGAAACTCTATAAATCACTACTACATCAGGTCTCTTAGGTTCATTTCTATTAGTATCTTCTAATATAAGTTATTAAATTCTTTAATTATGTTTTGTATATCGATCGTTTTTAGCACTTAATGTTGTTGTTGGACTAATGACTACAATGAAACTCCGTAAATTACAGCTGAAGCACTTATACATCGATGCAATCTACAATTTACTTATCAGCTTAAAGTTCTTCTTTAAGGGAGAAGTAAATTGTCGATTGTGTGATAATGTTTAATGTGATCTTCATAGGAAGTGTAAAAAAGTACACTTTTTTCTTTAAAAAAATGATGTACTTTAATATTGAACATGTCTTTACTTGATAAGGTTCTCTTCAAAGGTTTTCTTCAGGTTTTTAAATATAATTGGGTTTGATTGACTCATTCATCATTTGGATCGTTTTCTTTTCTCCTTTTAAATTAGTGTGTTAAGTAGTATATTCAACTGGGTCAACGATTGATTGACTTGGGAAGCACAAGTTCCTAGTCACATGCAAATGCAAAAACTATAATCTATGATAATTTCTAAAGTAACTGTTTTTGAGAGAAATTCAATGAGATATTAGCATTCTATTTAGTAATTAGAATACATTCAATAATTCTTTCAATTACTTTAGTAAAAAGTGTTGAAAGCATTTTCACATTATAATACTGTTCTTTGCTTGATAAATTAATTTTTATAAAACGAAGACTTGCTTGCAGATTGAAAGGATTAATGAATCTCTAATCCTAGATAAGGGTTAGAGGTCACTCTAGTTTTTCCACTCTTCTTTGTTCATTTCTAAAAATTTTATATATTTTTTTAAATTGAATACTAATTCTAACTTCAGCAAAAATTTATTTAATTTGTCACTCATAAATTTTACGGTATATTAAAATAAAAATTTTTGACAATTGAAAATTTGAAGTGGATTTTCATACTCAACTCGTAAACAAAGCGTAACAAAATTTATTTGAAAAGTATAAAATATGACGGCCGAGGTTATGTGGTCTGTCAATGTTTGCCGCCCCCAATCATGACACATGACTTGCATGTCAATAGGCCTGCATTTACGCCCTCTTATCTCAACCAAACTTAAACTCAAACTCCCTCCATCAATGTTTCTCCATAAAAGCACAATGTCACGTTAAATTTACGCAAAGTTGCCACAATTTACAAGGCAAAGATTTTTGTTGCGAAATATTCTTTTTCACATTTTCGAATGGAGTTTTTTAGCAAATTGCAAATTTTTGGTTTCGCATTTCGTTACTAGTTTTTTCAAAGTACAAATTTATGTATATTATTTTCTATTTTTGGGTATGAAGGCATTTACCGGAACAAAGCACATAAATAACAAAATTTTAAGGACAAAATATCAATATCCACTTTTGTGGCACGCAAACTGAATGCGAAATTTCGCAACGCAAGTACCGATTTGGAAATTTTGGTCCAAGGAAAAACTATCTGTGTTTCTTCTTTAAACTGGAAATGTGGCGAAGGATTCGCAAATTGTACTTCTTGTTGCATGCGTTCTGTGGCAGGAACAATTTTGCATAATTTTCTTACTGATTATGCAGTAAATACAATTTTAGAAAATTTCTCAAACAACATGTTGTGAAGTTGCTTGCAACATTTGTTAAAATAAATATTTTATTTTATTTTTATTTTTATTTTTTTTATCTAACTTTCGTATAAAATTGAATATTTTTGAAAAGAGAGAAACTGCAACGAATTCAAACAAAGTTTTTACCATTGAGACATGTAAGCGAAAATATCCTTATCGACGCACGGTTTGCGCATTCAAATTTTACCGAACAAGGAAGAAAATACTTTTCACCTAATGAAATCTACGTGTGCATATTTAGAAAATGTCTTCATTTATTTGAAAACATTTGTTTAGTTTCTTTCATGTTCCAGATTTTTATATGCTTTAATATGCTTTCATGAAATAAAAATATATATTTAAAATATTTTAAAAATGTATTAAATTTTTGTGTTTTAAGAAATAATTGTGTAATATTTTACACAAAACCCAATAATTGTAAATATACAGGGTTATGCAGGGTTCACTAATTAGATCTTCTGGTATTTCGACCCATTCCTGAACAATAGCTTTCTTCAGCGCATTCATACTCGACTATTTTTTAGTCCTTACCTTGTTCACCAAAATGGCCCAGAGGTAATAATCCATTGGATTTGCATCTGACGAATTTGAAAGCCATTGTATGGACGTAATGATGTTATGTTATGTGAAGCCTTTTCCTAGTTAGTGCATCTGGGCACTATTACTCTGTGATAGCTGGGGGGATTCTGCAGAGTCCCGCCCATCTCACCGACTAGTTTGAGTATTCCTGATAATCTTCGTTATTATTCAATGATTGATCTAAGATCTGCATACCGCCCCGTGCGGTTAGTAATTACTCTGAGATTAGATAGTGCTAAGTAGGGTAGCGTGTCGGTTTTCGCATATAGCTTCAAAGCTCTGGCCCTTATGTATTTTTTGACCGGATCTATTCTAAGGTCTCTTAGCATATCATTCGTGCGGATGTACCATGGCACTTTGAAGAACCTTCGGAGAGCCTGACTTTGAGCAACTTGTAACTTGTAGAAACATTTCATTGTATTTATTATTTCATTATATTTTAACCATTCTTGATTTACTCGAGCTTTAAGAGACGGTGCTGGGTTTTGTTGGAACTTTCATGATTTATGGCCGAAATGTTTGTGTGCCCACGGTTCTAAAGCAACTACCAAAACATTTTTCCGATAAGTGACATTTTGAATCGATAAGTCACCAGGTTCACTAGGTTTGATGAAAACGATTGGAGAGCGTCAGCTGTCGATACCTTTACTTAAGATGTAAAATTACTTCGGATAGCCATTTATAGTCTCAAATATTCGGCAGTGCGTTCAGTTAAGTAAACGATCATTTTGAGAGTTCAGATAACACAACGTTCGTACAAGTGTAACAACTCTTTTGCTCTTTCGAGTCTAACTTTTTGTTTTTGTTTGTGTAAGATCTAGTCCCTTTTGAAACTTTGTTTTGAGCTCATTTTGGAATATGCGTCGAATGCTTCACTGCGATATGTTCAGTTCTGTGGTCATATGATTATCACTGCGACGTAGATTAAAACTTAAGTCGAACCTTTAGTTTCCGAACTATTGATGTTGTTGTTGTTTTTCGTCCACCACCATAGCGTTTAGCGTCGCTGCCTGTACTATTATAATGATTTATGGTACGATATACAAACATTTTATTCACTTTGAGTTATTTGAGCTCACGAACAATAGCTGATCATGATAAGATCTGACGGAATACCGCGTAATACTTATATGATACTTATATGACAGTACAATATTCTATTTCTTTCAGAGCACTTCTAAGTATATTGTACACTTTATGTGACTCCTTAATCGTAATATATCTTAATATTAACTCAAATTGGTGATTAGATGTAGGTTTTGTATATTAAATTATTTTCAAAATACTCTTTATTAGCATCTGTTCAGATATTTTCGATATGACTGCAGCAAACTTATCGGTATGTAGGAGACTATTTCATTAACAGGTTTACCTGGCTCTATAATGTTATTATTGCAACCCCCTTCCATTGTATAGTAATATATATAGTGTCTGGTAATATTTTAATATTATTGCTGTATTTATTAGGTTATTAAAGGTTTCTGTTTTCTAATACTACAACCAATTCACATGCTTTTTTATCCGTGAAAAGGTTGAGTTTTATATCTGATGTCAATGTTTGCTAGAAGTACTCTTATTTTGATAGTCACACAAATATTTTTGTTTCTATATATATTACGAATTGTATACTATATATTAAACATTAGATGTTATAAATATAATATACAATATATATTTCTGTCATTACGTATTATACAATGAATGTTA